TTAAGCAATATTTTATTGCTAAAACATGAGGTCAGTATTTATAAAGGACGTCACTGCTTGTAAGTGTTAACACACATGATTTATTTCAAACTAAGGATTTGATCCTTTTGCATTTTATGATGTAGAGGATTAGCTCAGATCCAAGATAAATGTTTATTAAGGTTACCTATTAAAGGAGAATTCCACCATTTTCTCAAACTTTCTTCATAATTCGATTGCTGAGATAAATACAGAGACATGCAAAGTGTTTTGGTTTATTGTAGAGAAACTTACTTCTTTAGACTGGTGTTGATAGCAACCAGATGTCACGTCTACAACACAAATGTAGCCATTTTATTTGCCTTTCAAAATGACCAGTGAACTTACATGTGTCATCGGAGCTTTTATATGTAATAACGATGATGGTAAAATAGGATAATTCTGATAAAAAATAATTTTTTGAGGACTATTTTGCCTTACAACAGCATGCATACACCTCCACACTAGGGGAGCTCAGTCCTGGTCCTGGAGATCTACCAGCATGCAGAGTTTAGTGCCAACCCTAATCTTTCACACCTAATCCAGGTAATGAAGGCCTTCAGGGAAATCTGAATTTTAGAGCCAAACCAAGGAGCTTTCCGGTGTGGTAGATCTCCGGGACTAAGATTGTTCTATCTTCTATGCCATGAATAAAACATGAATTTTAAGCCAAAATCTTCTTTCAAAACTATCATACAACAATGTCTCAGGCATCAGGCAGCATATTCATAAATATATAATGTAAGATCTTTCTGTGATGGAGCTTCTAGAGGCATTAAATAAGTCAGACACCTGGTTCCTATCACCACCACTGTGAAAACTTTTACTCTATAAGTTACTCTAGAACAGAGCATTTCACATCAGACCACTCTGAATTACTTTGCTTACATCTTATCTGTTTAATTATACAGAAATTATAAAAATGGGCGGAATTCCTCTTTAAGGGCTTACACTGTTTATATTCATAAATCTAGAACATAAACCGATGGAGCAGAAGAGTTTAAGCTTATTGATGGCTTCATGTGAGAAGAATATTATCATTTTTTGCTTATAATTGATAAGATAGTGGTATATAGTCTGTGTTATTCCAGTGCCAAGGTTTCAGGCATCCAAAAGATAATCTTATCTGAAAGAAAGAGAGCACAAAAATGCTTTTATTCAATAATAATATCTTACTTCCCCTGAGAAAAATATAATCCTGCAGAATTTGAGTATTAGTGGGTTGGAGGTGCACTGGTGATTTTGGTATTCATTAAATATAATTTGATTACACTAGGATTACAAAACATTTATGATAATAAAGCCCTACAGGATCTGGAGACAGATGTTCCTAATCTTACCTCGTTAAAACTGAACACTACTTTTCACTCTGTCTGATTTTCATATATCTTTTTCTTCAATAACAAATGCTTCATTGTGTGCAAACAGCACACATAGCTTTTAAGGGAATGGCTTCTGTTAGGGAGCATGAACATTGTTATAATAGCTGCTTTTTATCAATATTCCTTTCTTATTCATATGATTCATTGTCTTCATTTTCTGTTTATGATCATTAGTGTTGTCTTTGTTTTTTTACTTGCTCTCTTTTTAAAATTTGGTCACACTGTGCTCTGGCCTAATATAATATTTACATTTTACAGTTTAACATTACATTTACACTATTTTTGCATTCATGTTTTTTATATATTACCCAACTATTGGACTATCATTAACTTCTAATATGTGTGAAATCAAATGTTTATTATTTGTAAGGTTTGTGCAGGATATTCAAGAGTTTCCTTTTACTAAAGCAATAAAAGAATGAGGCTGAGATACTGTTAAATGAAATGAAATCAAATAAAATCAGAAGAAACATGCCAAATAAAAGTGCCATGGTTCATTCTTTGTGATTAAGGGTGAAATGGGACCAGTTTTGCAGACAGCCAGACCGAGATTAAGCCTAGTCCTGGACTACAAAGCATTTTGAAATGAGTTTTTCCACTGAAAGAAAAATGTAGTTCAGGCACTAGGCCTAATCCCTGACTGAGAAACCGACCCTGAATATGTTTTATAATATTGAAAACATTTTCATGTAAAGGTTTATCCTTAGGTAGTTACCTCATTTTTCATTTAATGCCTCCAATTTAGGTATGATATTTAGAGCTGGAAAACAAAGAACCATAATCATTACATCATCAAGCTAAGTACCAAATATGAATTTGTGGGATATCTCTCATTTTGTGTTAATGTGTTTGAGCCAATCAGCTGTTGTGATGCAGTAAGGTGGGTGTAAACAGCCTTTTTCACGTCCATTGTCTGAAGTCCCACCTTCCTGCTGTTGTTATGTTCATCAGACTTTCAGTTCATGCTACATCTTTAGCACTTATGCTCACAAACTAAGAGGTTCAGTAGTACAGAGCAAAAAATAAAGTGGCTTTACAGGATGTAAACATTCAGAACATATACATATGAGAACTGACAAAATGTAGGCATCAGAATGGAAATTTTTCAAGCTGCTGGACATTAAAGCGGCAGGTTTTCATGTCTAATGAGGAGGTCTGAGCTAAGAAAGCTGCCAGTTCATATGTGCTAATGCTAAAGCTAAAGCTGAAGCAGAGCTGGTTTGTGAGTTCTCAATGGATGGGAGTAAATGGAGCTAATTGGCTAAAAAGGAAAAGTTAGAATAGTTTCTAATCTCTTGCCCAGGACTTTCCTTTAATTTTAGAAAGTAGAAGGATGTATTTCACTAAAAAAGCAAAGAAAACTTACCTAGATATTTCCTTTTTTCTACAGCAAATGGGTTTTGGGCCACAGGACGCTAGCATTACTGCTACTGAGTGCTGATTGGTTGGCGAGCAAAGCAGCTCATTGGCTGTTTGCGCTCACAGACGTCATGAACGTACACAAGGCGCCTTTTTAAACTCCTATAACTCGAATTTAAAAGCGTTTAAAAATATAACAGCGGTGTTAAAGCTGCTGTGGGTTTAAGCTGCTCTGTGTTTAGAAAATGAATGTATTATTTTATATTAGGAATATGTAAGCATTTATAAACTTTGATTTTGCTCAAATGCTCCATCTTAACCTATTCATTTTGGACTCGCTCGAGAGCGCCCTCTAGTGTTTGAGAAACCCGGAAGATGTTAGAGTGGTAATTCTCCTCTCCACAAGTTCTCTGGCTGAAGTCATCCTGAAGGAGCTAAGAAAAGCTAACTTCGATAGCTAACTAACTGATTGTAACCTTGATCTGTAGCGTTTTTCATCATTAGAAGTCATGCTACAATGACTGTTAGCAAACACAGAAACCCAGACAGTTTATTTTACCTTAGAGCAGGTGTGGCTAATCCTGCCTATTAGCAGTTTTGCCACTGAGCTGTGAGTGTGGGCTTCCACAGAGTTTAATCCAAAACTTTTTCAGGTTCAGGAATGAAATAAGAACTGCACCAACCTCCAGATGAACAGGACAGCGAGTGTCAGACATTAAACGTTCCTCAGTAACACTTCCTGCCATTTTAGTCAAATAATTCTGACTAATTTACTCCCACTGCCGTTCTCACTGCCGATTTGTTGTGAGGAGCTTTGTTGTTTTTCCTTAGCTTGATGGAGAAAGTAACATTGACAGATGTTCTGGTTGGCTGAGAGATCAATTCTAAAATGTGAGAAATTGTAAAAATCCCCTATAACTTTTATGGGAATGGTAAAAACTACAGACCTCTGCTAGAGAACACTAAACATTGTTATAAGCCGTTTTTTATACTGTTTTTTAATCATACAGTTCATACACGCTCCATATCTTTTCCATGACAATTTAGGTGTTAAATGATAATACTTCATTGACTGGTACTGTACATGAAAGATAATGTAGATGCTGACTACAGTAAATTAAGTCTGTAAAGGTGCAGCCGAGTCTACTTTTAGACTTCAAATCGGCTAATCAGGTTGTTGTAGACATCTAGGCTTTTAACAATGAGCAAGGATGAGCCCTCTGTGAAATATAGCTTTTAAAAATACCAACCTTCGCAAACATGGAACGGCTTAAGCCAAAACTGTAATTAACCTTTCACCCTGAAAGCGTTCAAGTGAAATATAAGCATAAGCCAGTAAACACACTGCATTATTAATACATCTCTTGGGTGCGAAACCGTCATTGGACTGGAGCTTTTTACCGCAGGTGAGGTGGTGCTCTGTGTACACTTTGATAAATAGTGAGTGAACTGTTATAAATATAGACAAATTGAAGCGCCATGTCTGGATTTAACGTAATAAGTCCCTTTATCCAAAAACCTTTCAGCGCGCAATATGTGAAACAGATTTGAGCGTACAAGAGTTTACAAGTCTGGCCTGAACGACTCTCAATCATTCCAGCTAGGAATGCTAATGTTAGCACTTAAAAGCCAGCAAAGCCTAAGTCTGGAACTCATCAAATCCCCATCCATGGAGCTGTCTCAAAGCCCCACTGTAAGGATGTGTCAGTGAAGAATTAGCTAACCTTTTCTCTCTAGGCTGGGATATTTATAGCAACAATAGTACACTTTTAATTTTAGTAGAACAGAGATGCCGGGCATGTTTTTCATTTGAGAAGGTTAACATTTAATCTTATTTACAGATTGCACAGAGAAAAAACAGACAGACATTCACATTAAACGTTAAAAGGTACGTTAACACCAGGACATGACCAACCTAAGCTAGTCCTTCGGGGCCAGACTGGATTTAGTAACAAGAATGTTTTGGGACAGCCATGAGAAATTTTCAGTTAAATGTGGGTGAAAATGTAGGCTTATCTGGGTGGGAACATACTGAGAATGAAACTTCTAAACCAATTCAATGCTTTGTGAAGGCAGAACTCAAAAGTAGGGGACAATGGTGCACGACATGTTGCGAACCAGGAGTTGCAATGCCTGCAACAGAAATGCAGTCATTTTATATATTATCCAAAATGACCAGTAAACGTGGTTATTACTATACATAATGTTGATAATGTAAAATAGTTAAAAAAAAACACACACAACACAATGCCATGCATGAACCTCTCCACCACAAATGTGCATTTGTGTACAATTTATTGTAAAAGCTTCCTGTAAGCTTTTAGAGGCATTAATCTCTTTAAACATCTGGTTCCTATCACCACCATTGTGATTATGACTCCATACGAATGGCACATTTCACACCAATCCACTTTAAGCAACTTTGTTTGCATCTCATCAATTTAATTATGCAAAAACTTGAATCTGTGGAATTCCCCTTTAAAAGATCATGAACTAGAGGAGTTGGGGGTGGCTTCTGGAGGGAGTGTACTCTTGTTCACGGCAGATTCCACAACAGTACAGCGCCAAGAGTTTAACTATTTGTCTCCAGATGTGAACAAGATTGTTACGAGATCACACTGGACCCCGCAAGACTAAACCTAAGCTAGATACTTAAAGTTTTTGCTGGATCATGTAAACAAAATTTACTTCAGTTGCAGGCAACACAGCCACAAAACTCAGTGAGATGAGAGTACGATCAGTGTTTTACTATAAGAAAAAAAAAACCCACACCCAGCAAAATTCACAAACAGGTTACCTCTCAGTAAAAACCTCTGCCAGACCATGATGTCGTGTTTCATCCTTTAGGTAACCAAAATGACAAGGGATTAAAACTATGTAGACATCACGTCATACATGCTACCCGAATCCCAGTCCACACTTATAAAGGGGAATTTCAAAATTTCTGCATAAATAAGTCATTTATATGTACACAAAAGTATACTTTTACATTATTAACTCCCTGCATGTACCTCTCCACCAAAAATGGATAGTAAAATACATCAGAAAATAATATCATCAGGCATCAGTTTCCATATTCATAACCATTTCATGTAATAACGTTCTGTGAGGGAGTTTTAAGAAGCAGTACATTCTTCAGACGTCTGGTTCCTACCACTGTGAACAATTCTGGAGCAGTATGTTTCTCTAGAACAGCACATTTCATACTTCGTTTACCTTTCATCAATTACGCAGAAATGTTGAAAGATTGTTGGAATTCCCCTTTAATCATCATAATCGTTTTCCAATCCATCCGTTAAGGAAAACAGAAAAGATATGTCGCCGGGGTTTGTGGAATAGATCATCCAAGGTGATGTTATCCTGATGCAAGTGGGCACTTGAAAGTAAGTGTGTCAGATACTATACAGTTTATATAGACAGCACAAGAATCATGTGTTCATCAGTTATTCATGTCTGCACGCTCAGTCTCTCCGGAAGTGGAAGACGCTGTAGCCGAGCTCCACCATGGCTCCGATGAGAAGTGTCCAAAGTGGGATGCAAACAAAACTCAGCCAGATTTCTGTTAGGCGTTCCAGCTTCGCGCACAGCGTCAGACAGAAAGCCAGCTTTAACAAAATAGCCACAAGGTACCACACGCGCTTTTTCAGGTTCTCCGCTCCATTGCGTGGATCAAACCCCGGCTTGCAACGGCCCGCCATTTTGACGATAAGCATGAGCAGGAGAATGGTGTCGAAAGTCCACACAGGGAGGAAGACGAGGAACCAGCTCCACTGGATCTTCTTGTCCAATTTGAGGACCAGCATAATGAGGAAGATGAGGCTGAAGATCCATGTGAGGAGCACTCTCTGAGCAAGGGACATGCTCATTCAGGACAGCTCAGGGGACAGCTCCAAACCAATCTGTCAAACAGACAGCAAAGAGTATATTATTTCAGACAACCATGATATTTCAGTCATTGTAGGCCTACTTCATGATGTTTTCCAAGACGTGCAGTAAACGAAGGGAATAAATCTCTCTCCTTTTGTTTTCATACAGCCTAATTTAAAGGGACTATATCACGGAAAACCACATTTCCCACAGTGTTTTGAAATTCTAGAGTGTGGTTTGGTGTAGTACGTAAACACTGAATATTTCAAAAGATACCATTTACTTCTCAGTCCATATGTGGAAACTAAGCTGTAAAACGTTATGCTAATCCAGTACTCAATAAAATACATTCACTATATGGATGAAAGTATTAGAACACCCCTCTTAATTATTGAGTTCAGGTGTTTCAGCCACACTCATTGCTAACAGATGGATAAAAGTAAGCTCATAGCCTTGCAGTCTCGATAGACAAACACCGACAGTAGAATGAGTCATACTGATGAACTCAGTGACATGGCACCGTCAAAGGATGCCACCTCTGCCACAAGTCAGTTTGTGAAATTTCTGTCCTGCTAGATCTGCCCCGGTCAACTGTAAGTGCTATTACTGTGAAACAGAAGCATCTAGGAGCAACAGCTTAGCCACAAAGCGGTACACCACACAAACTCAGAGAGTGGGGCCGCCGAGTGCTGAAGCGCACAGCGTCTATCCTCTGTTGAATCACTCACTGAACAATTACTGCCTCTGGAAGCAAAAAACTGTTCATCATGAGCTTCGTGACAAGTTTCCACGGCCGAGCAGCTACACACAAGCCTTAGATCATGTCATAAAAGCTCCTGTAGGGGTAATGTGTAGGCGTCCCAATACTATTGTCCATATAGTGTATATCCTCCTATTAGGCCTAGAGTAGCTTAGTCCAGCTGAATGCATCAGCATGGACTGCTTTCTGAATGAGGCACAGTACAGGACAGCCAATCAGGACTGAAATCATTTACATATATCAGGCTTAAAGGTAACAAACACAGCCTGTTGAACTGTAAGGGATAAAGACTGGTTGGAAAATGGTCTGTCACAAATTAATAATGACTGTTTTGTTATATAACTCCCACACAGTGGTCGTCAATGGACCTCAGAGGGGGGAAAACCCAATTTGTATCGTTAGTAGCTTTAGCTATTTGGGCCCTTTAAAGACTGACTGCGCCACCTACCCGGAACGTTACATACGAACTTCTGAAACAGATGTTTCACTGAACTCGTCAGATGTCAGGAGCTGCAGTTAAACCACCGCTTCCTTTGTGTTTTTGTTTTACGGGGTTTTCACAGAGACACACTACCGAGACAAATTCGAGAAAACTGTCTGCCTGTTGGTTCAGCGGCGGCGTTGGGAGGGAGGCTAAAGGACTAGTTAGCTTCTGAAAACACTCCCAACTGATTTCCTCATCAAACTGAACTACATTTCCCAAACCCAACAACACGAACTTACCTAAACAACGAGATCCCGTTTCTTCGCTTTATTCAGCACGAACCTTTCAGAAAGACGAGGGTTTTGATCATTTTGATGGCGGATTCTTGCGCTTCATCTCTGCTGCTTTTCAAAACATCATCTTCGTTTTCTGACTCCTGACGCTCAAACGGGTTAAACCCTGAGTTAGATGGCGCGCGATGCCCCCTCGCGTTCCGGAGTATTCAAGGCTGCCCGAATCAAAGGGGAATTCCACCGACTTTCCAATTTTTTTTTGCAGAATTAATTTGTTGACATGTAGCCTAAACAATGTCATTCAGATAGTATCAATGTAAAATGAATAACCGCTGTTATATTTTTAAGAGCTTTTAAACTCGAGTTATAGGAGTTTAAAATGACGCCTCATATACAGCCAATGAGCTGCTCCGCTCGCCAACCAATCAGCACTCAGTAGCAGTAATGCCAACCTTGTACTGTCCAAACCCGGTTTGCTGTAGAAAAATGCTCTAAAATGAAAGGAAAGTTCTAGGCAAATGGTTGGAAAACCATTTTAACTTTTCGTTTTTAGCCATTGAGCTTTTCTCCCATTCATTGAGGACTCGCTGGCGGGCGCCCTATGGCATTTTGCAGTCATGTTTTTGATATAATGGGGGAAATAGGAAGAGGCCAGGCTCCTCATAAACTGGCTCTGACTGCTGCTCCATTTGAGGTTGAACAGGAAAACCTGAACAAGAAGCTGGCGAATAGCTGACTTCAGTTTCATATCACCAAAGAATTAGGGGTAGCGATAATAAATAATTATCGTATCCCTCCCTCTTTGAAACCATATGATGCCTAAATTTAACTAAAGGCCAGCAGTGAAGTTGCTGAACTTTACCCTCCTCTGCTGTCACTGTATACTAGCAGGGTCGCCTACAGAGCAGCGCTAGTGGCCTGTTAATGAAGTAATGCTCTTCTTTACTTGAGGGTCCCATTTCATAGGGAAGATTTCAACCACTACCCCTTGTAACTCAGTTCCAAGGGGAAAGGTGGCACTCAGAAACAAGGGGTAGGGGTAAAAATAAGGAATGGGATTGGGCCAAGGTTTACCAGCAGTTAAATGGGGCCACTGCATAACAAGTTATAGGTTATTCAGTATTTCATTCATTGTGCATAAAATAAATCATTCATTAATTCATCATTCAGTACGTACATTTATTCAATACATAATAATAGACATTGTTACTGTCAAGTGTTCATGGGTTAATTGAGGAAAAGCAGGCCACACTCTGAACACTTCGGCCTGCTACTCAGCTACAGAAGGCTGTAACTTCGTCCTCTCCTCTGCTATGTTTTGATCTCCAGGGTCAGATGTAAGCTGTGGACAGACAAGCTTTTGTCGTGATGGAGTAAAAGTTTCCAGGACCTCCACTCGACCGTGCTCATGAACCACTTCTTGGAGTGTAGGTCTGTCCAGTGCCAGCCAGAGCCTTTGTTTGACGTCTTTACCATGTGTGTGCGTAAATCTCCACGGGGCTCTGCTAGCCTCAGGCTCTACCACGGCCCTATACACTGCCTGATAGTGCTGGACGCTGAGTCCGTGGATCAGGAGCAACTGGCTGGAGGGATCAGTCGCTCGGGCCCTCAGGCGTCTACACAGCTTCCTCTGTCTCCTCAGGCTTTCTGGGATCAGCTGCTTGCGTCTGCTCCGCCTTTTGTCCTCGGATCGTTTAAGCCTGTCTACCTGTGGCACAGCACGTCTGGATTCAGAAGCCTTTCAGAGAAATCAAGACATGCCTCTCTCAGGACATCATCTACTGTTCCTGTCTCTGCTCTCAGCACATCATCTACTGTTCCTGTTTCTGCTCTCAGCACATCATCTACTGTTCCTGTCTCTGCTCTCAGCACATCATCTACTGCTCAAAGACGAAGACTTCAAAATGTTATTTGAAGGTTTTTCCACAATGAGAAGAATGACAAGAATGAAATGTAGAATTGGAATGAAAAGGTTATCAAGATCAGGCTGAAGAAAGAAAATAATGAAAAGAATGAAAAGCTTGCAGTCAGAATGAGAACATAATTTAGTGGTAAGAACATTTCCATTTTCCAAATTTGCATGTTTTCCATAATATAATTCATTATTTAAAACATATTAACCTCTTAAGCCTTAGACTTATTCATCTATATGAAGATTACTATCCAGTACTGTTAATTATTCATGCATTATTTTAAAAGCTATTATGATTGATTCATAAAGTGCCATGGGTTATTCAGTAACTACCAAGACTTATTCAGAAATCACTTTGAACTATTCAGCAACCACTATTAATTCTTCTATAACTACTATAGATTATTCAGTAACTACAATGAATTATTTAGTAACTAAATCAATTATTCAGTAACTACAGTGAATTATTCAGTAACTACTATGAATTATTCAGTAACTTATATAAATTATTCATTCACCTTTATGAATTATCCAGTAACTACTGAAACACAAACAGTAACTTTATAGTTGATGCCATGTGGATGAGTGAAAACAGATACTGTAAGTGAAAATGGATACTGTAAGGCTTTATATGAGGCATTTGTGGGTTCCATATTTCTTATAGTTTTTTATTTTATAACAATGCTGTTTTGCACAAAGGCTTGCTACTTTGCAATGGTTTATTTTGAAATAAAAATTGGATTTTTCTGAGTTAAACCAGAGTACTATATAGTCTAGTACTACAGAGTACTATACAGTCTAGCACTACAGAGTACTATATAATCAGAGTACTATGTCAAAACATGTGTATTACATAAATCAAGACATTTACAACACATATAATATCAAAAATCAAAATTGAAAGAAGAATCAAACCTAGAACTGTGTATTGTTACACATCTAGTAGCTATGAGAGTGAGGAACTGAAGTCTGGAGCTGACAGATCCTGAAAGTTTAAAGAGCTAAAGGCTACATTTAAAGCACTGCTGTACTTAATGTAGTAAGGTTCTGTACTTCTCTCTGCCTCTGTCTGGCTCCAGCTCTGTCCGGCTGTATGTTTGGGAAGCCGGAGGCCTCTCTGACCTGGACCTCTTGGCTTGACGGTAGTGGGGGTGGACTGCTCATACTTCTAGGCCTTGCATAATAAAGATTTCAGACAAGTTTAGAGGCAAGCACTTTTTTTCCAGTGTATAATGGCACATCCTGAGAGTAATAGAAATAGGATTTTATGAATGCTGCATTAGTTTTAAGTCTATTTAAAGAAACATTGTCAGCACTAACATAGCAGAGCCTGTTTTTTGCACTGAAATGTAATAAGAGGTACAACACAAACTCACTAAATCAGCCTACCTTCCTTATATTTTCTGGCAAATTTGCTTTTTCTTGCTGGATGAGTTGTTGTCTTTTAAAGTGTACTTGTTTTCCTACATGTTTTTGGAATATATACGATATACAGAACAGCATGTTCTAGAACGCAGATGGCCTCATAAGAGCGCTGTGCACCGAGCGTGTGAGTTTTAATGTAATAGCTTAGTTTCGCCACTGGAGGGCACTGTGTCTTCACCTTCACACAGAAGGTTAATCTCATGATCTCATGGTCAGAGCAGCTGTTCTGACCAATCAATATTAGATCGAATACAGCAGTGCAGGTTTAGTTTTCTCTTTTTATTAATCATCTCTCTTCTTGGAAACTACATTACAGATTTAGCATTGCTAGGCATTTCTAAAGATCTCCTCTGATTACAGAACAATAAATAAATGCACATTATATATATATATATATATATATATATATATATACATATATATATATATATATATATATATATATATATACATATACATATTTATACATACTTTTTAATCAGATGCATTTTGCAATATATGAAAATGGTCAAACTGTTTTTGTTTAATGTATTTCAGTATTGTAATACATTTGAATTTAACACAACGTATCTGCAATCACTAAAGCCGCAACCGGAACAGCCAACTATGAGTGATGTGATGAACCTGGTTTAAAGTTTGACTAATGTGTTTTGTTTGTACACAGACTTTCTTCTGGGCCACATTTTGGTTTGCTAGAAGGAAATGATCCAAAAAGTGGTCTCCTTGGATTTATCAAAGACTTTCACAGCAGCATGGTAAGACGCAGATTGAATAAAACAGCAGATCTTTTTTTGTATCAGATTACATTCAGTGTTCTTGTATAAAATTAAAACAAGGCATTACACAAAACATTCTTTCATCATGCCCCCCCACTGAGATAACAATCTAATCCTCTATTTCCAATACAAGATACACAGCAAACGTTTTTCAGGCGCCCTTAAGGTGTTAGGAATTGAGCCTCAGACACACACACACCCAGATTGCACTGTGATTCACTGAATTAGCCTATTAGCCCTTGCAAATATCCAGTTGTAGCTCTTTGCGTTATTGGGGGCTTGAGGGGATGATTGTAGAAGAGCCAGGTACCGATAGCATTGCTGTTTTCCCACACGCAGCTTATCAAGTGAAACCACACAACTGCATCCTGCCCCTCGAGTCTGAGTGCAGAAATTGGGTTTTAATTGGTTCTTCCCAATTCCACAAAATTGCGCGGTGTCTACCTAAGTGCACACAAGGAGGAGCCTGGCATGTTTAGCTGGCTAGGAGAAAACACAGGGCTAGCAAAAAAGTAAGTGGGCCAATCAAAGGGCTACTAGTCTCTGAAACACAAAACCTGGTTCTGAAACAATGTAAGTAAAATTTAAGTAAAATTGGCTTTTTCCACTGCTGAACAATTTTCAGTAAAATTCAATAACTTTTGTCAATGCTGAAACATTTTTAATAAAATTGAATGGCTTTCGTCAATGCTGACACATTCTCAGTAAAATTCAGTAGCATTAGTCAATTCTGAAACATTTTCTGTAAAATCTAATGGCTTTTGTCAATGCTGAAACATTTTCCATAAAACCTAATGGCTTTTGTCAATGCTGTAACATTTTCCATAAAAACTAATGGCTTTTGTCAATGCTGAAACATTTCGGTAAAACCTAATGGCTTTTGTCAATGCTGAAACATTTTCCATAAAACCTGATGGCTTTTGTCAATGATGAAACATTTTCCATAAAACCTAATGGCTTTTGTCAATGCTGAAACATTTCAGTAAAACCTAATGGCTTTTGTCAATGATGAAACATTTTCCATAAAACCT